TTGATGTCTTAAGCTGGTACCCCCTGAAATAGCCAGGATTTGGAAAAAACCTCAGCCCTCAGCCTCCCTGCAGTCTCCTCATCTGTCTAGCAGAGATGGCGATGCTCAGCTGTCCATGTAGGGGTTCGGAGATGAAGGCTGTCATTTATTAAAGCCATTTGCGGACTCGTGTGTGAGAGGGACATTCCTGAGTTGGGGAGCTGATGACAGTGCATCTGGAAGGCTTCATTTCCATCTCAGCAAGGCTCTTTTCCCTTCCTGCCAGGACTGGAGCTGTTTGGCAGGATGGGGGAACCTGCAGAGCTGACTCCGATGTTCTGCGGATAAGTAAGAGAAATGAGAATCTTTCTGATAAACGTTCTGGCTCTTCTTACATATGGGAAACTTGACTTAAAAATTGTGTTTAGGATGTCTTTCGCACCCTCTGTTCCCCAGAAAACACTGGAAGGAACCTCAGTGTCTTCTCTCTCTTTGTAAAACCACCTTTACTCTCGGTGTCTTTGTTGATAGTGATTGGGTGGCTACCACTTACTCAACCAGTTCTGGGTGAAATGGTCCAGAACTGTCAGCATCATTGCTGTGCACAACGATTTGAACACAAAAGATGCTTCGATGAAAGAAACCCAGTGATTTCCATGGAACTGCAGTACCTCTTGTAGCTAATGATCTGCTTAGTTAACATAGTAATACATGATTCTGTAAAAGCCTAAATAGATTAAACAGAAGTGGAAGTTTCTTGTAAAAGCCATTGTTTGCTTTATATGCTGATCACTGATAATGATTTAACACAATGCTTTCAGGAATGCTGGTTCTGATAGCAGCTGAGAGGATCAGAAAGATTCAAGTGTCTTTCTGTAAAGACCCGTTTCCCCATCCATTTGCAAATTCTGGCATTTTTGGTAAGCCCCTGCAATGGGGTTAAGAGTTCCCCAGATGAGAAAAGGTGAGTTATTTCAATAGCAGGTCCTAGATTATCCACGTCTTCCATCCCAGTTTGCTGTCAGAGCTATGGTGCTTTGGCAGGAGGGTTTGGTGAGATTTTCTGCTGAGCCAGTCAAGCTGGTATTGTGTGGAGGGATCAGTATTGTGTGATGCAGGACAGCTGCTGTCCCAGGCACTGTGTGAAGGTAGAGGAGGATCTGGGATCCTTTAGCAGCAGCTATCACCTTTGTTCCTTGCTGAAAAGTATCTTGTAATCCCAGACTGTTTGCCTTGAAAACACGGGGGAGAGTTAAATCACAAGGGATTTATTTCCCCCCCGCCCTGTTTCCAAATTCCAAGGTGGAAAACAGCAGGCGGGAGTGAGGGAGCCCAGCTGCTGGTGCAGACAGCGGCTGGAACGGGCTGGCATGGGAGAAGCTGTGTGGTGGGTTCCTGTAAAAAGCACACTTGTTCGTGAAAAGAAACGTGAAGTTTTCAGAGCGAGTGCCCTGGGAATAGAGAGAAACCAGCATTTCGGTGTGAGAGGGGACAAACTCAGTCGGGAATGTTCTCAGTCAAATACATGCAAGCCAGGAATTTCCCGGTGCAGCCCAGTGTGGCGTTCGTTACCAGCTAACCTTCAGGCTGAGGCAAGGGCTGGAGAAAATACCCTATGGATGAGCCAAAGTGTTGGCGCTCTTTAATGCATTGGTTAAGGAGGAAGAGGTGGGTTCCTCTGTGTCTCCAGGGGCTTTCTCTGCTGTGTGGGGACATCCACACTAATGTCTTTTTGCCACTGTCGTGGGTACAGGGAGCAGTCCAGCCTTCTGCCTCCAGGGCAGGATCCACCTACCTAAAACCCAACGTGGTTAATGCCTGTCTTGCCTGCGGTCACCTGAGTGTTTTATTAGCCTTGCTATTTAAGGTGGGTTTTTTTTTTTTTTAAATCTGAATCTGCAGTTTTAGTCAGTGACTATTTGCCCTTTTCTATTTGTAGCAATGTTCTGACCTAGTTGCTGTATCTATGGCTAAAGAAGACATTTCAGTTCTTTTCATTGTCATGTTTTCTAGACTTCAGATGATTCCCATTGCTTTCCTCTGGACTCTCTCCAGTTGATTTACATCATTTCTTGAAGTGCTCAGCATAGACATGCAGACTTTCAGTTCCCTTTTTTGTCTGTGGGGAAAGCTGTGGCCTTTGTGTGATGGAGAACAAACTGGGAGAGTGAGCTTTCCAGAGGAGTGCAAGATAGCTGGGGTCCAGAGAATCATTTGAAGGTCTTGTCTGGAACAGAAAGCAGAAGAAAAATCAAGATGTTTCATTAGAATAATAAGTTAAGTTTTATTACATGCTCCTTGGGGATGGTGTAGGGGAGAAGTTCCTGCATAAAACCAGACCCCCGCTGCTCGCCCGGCAGTGGGAGCTGTCAGGAGGCATCTCTCCATCCATGTGCTTCCAGCAGCAGGAGCACTACTGAGAGATGATCCAGCCAAGCGACAGCCGTGAGACCCCCGTTAGCGACACAGGGTCACTCCTGCCAGGCTCTGCAGCCCAGGGTTGCTTCGTTGCTCTTGCAGGTGAAGACACCCACTGCCTGGGAGGCCAGGCTTGCTTAGGGAGCTCGAGACGACGTGCAAACTTCCAGAGCACCGTTTCCGAGCAGTTGTTTTCAGCAAGCGACCGATACTGAAAACAACCCTGGGAGCTGAGGAGCTTGTGGTTTATTTTTCTGGGTTTTCAGAGATGTTTTCAGTCACCTGTGGTTCTGGGTTTTGCTTTTTTTGGTTTCAGCTGTGGAAGCTGCGTGCTTATGTGTGAATGCTGGGGTGTGAAGGATTGCAGTTGTCTTTGTTCATTAAAATAGTCTGATTATT